TAATGCAGTAATATCATATAACAGTAAGGGTGTTGGTGAATTTACGGGCACATGGGACTTGGTAAGTTATGTCTCAGGGTGACGGGCGTAGTGGCAGTGCAGATCTTTGCGATTTAAAACTCTGAGTGGCACTGCAACTGTTATGAATAAGCGTGTAGCTTACCATCAGGCGCACGACTAGTTCGCCCCGTCACTTATTATTGTAAAAAAAAACGTTAATTAATGTTTATTCTTTGTTACACATTTTTGTCTTTCAATTAGATTAGTCATTAGTAGCAGTAGAGCTCCTTGTGAAATAGCTAGTCCAGGGAAGTACTGCCCCCTTACTTTCTGCCGCCAAGCAGTAATGTGATCATCACTGCGTTCTGATTTTGAAGGTAGGCACATGGGACTTGTCAACTTATGTTTCAGGGTGACTGACGCAGCGGCAATCCCTCAAATCTTTGCGATTTATAGCTCTGAGTGGCACTGCAACTGCCATGGACAGGCGCTTAACATCACGCGCACGACTTGTTCGTTCCGTCAGTTGGTATCATAAGGGAGAAATATATATCATACAACAAATTAATAGGACGACACAACCTTTTGACCTGTACGTATAGACACATAATTATAAGTACATAATCACGAGAAAACGCAATCGCTGCGATAAAAACATGACGAAGAACGCTATTTATTTAATAATGCACAAGAAAATAATTTGTTTTATGTTGCTAACATCATGGCTACGTGGCAAAGTCGTTTCTTACACCCGTCGCTAAATTTGCACATCCAAGGATAATTAGCAAAAACTGCACCTGTTCCCAAAAACTAGTGTTGCAGGATTCTCAGTTGAAATGGAATCCCGAGTTACGCATGTAGGTAAGGATTCTCTCACCTAAGCCATCGCTGCTTTCTCGTAATGCTTAATCTTCGTGTCCAAAATTTCAGTGAGTAGAGTAAGTCATTTTTTTGAATCCGAAAAAAAGTAATCGTATACTTTATAAAATATATCGGTTAAGACTGCAGGCTCTTCTTGTACTAACTTTTTCACTACAGTTGTAGGATAAACACGATCATGACCCCATTCATTCCACCACTTAGATATATTTTTATAAAAGGTACTTTGATTTCTTCGTGTTTCATTATTCAACATAGCGCAAAATCCACAGACCGCAGCATAAAAGTTATCTTCATTAGCGTTATGAAAAGTATAGTACCCGTGCCATCTGAAGAAATCTAAGTATCTCGGAGGATTGTGTATGATGTCGTTCATTTCTTTCGCAAGTTCCTGTACCCCTAACTTACCGGCGTCTAAGTATATTCCATCAGGCATAAATCTGTAAATTAATATTTACCGTAATTTTTAAAATAAAACCATTACTTATCTATTTGTTAGTGATCGAATTCAAAACCTTTGACAAGCTTAAAAATTTACCTGGTATAATTAGCGCCACCTAAAACTACTGGAACTGCATAATGGTTCAAACCATGTAATATTTTTTCTGTTACATAGTCCTCACAAAAAGAATTCTCAAACGCGATATAAAAATAATAATCTCTTTCAATTTTGTCATAGCATTCCTTCATTTGTGAACCTCTTGGGCACTCTAGAGTCCCACAGTCACCATAAATGTCTACACGGTGTCCATATTTATCTAATTCCTTTTGCAACTCATAGACGAACGGACCACGCTCAGTTGTAGTGAAACAGTTAGATACAATCCATGCTGCTGCAATGCTTTTGTTTCCCACTAAGTTGATAATTTCAGATTTTGTTGTATCCATATCTTTTATGTCTATCCAGTGCATATGTTTTCTGGGTCCTATTACCTCACCATCTTTATTTTTTACATATATGTATGGATAAATGACATCGGATGTTAGTTTGTACGTCCAGGTCATATTGAACAAGCCATTGAACTCGGGGAATACAGGGAAGTATGACGCAGGTTCTACTCCAGCTAAGACATATTCTTGAGTTTCAGAACGTTTGTCTGGTATGGTTACAATACCCTGTGCATAAAAGAACACATTGAATATCAGGACATCAAAATCTATCAGGTTATCGAAATATGAACGATCGTTGGTGAAAAAACAATTTTGGAAGGTGCAGTCCCTTTTTATAAAAGCATATTGACCCATTCCTAAGTAATTGAATGGCTCCCTATAGAAAGGTGTCCATTCGAGTATATAAATCAATCCGTTCTTCTTTTCCAAACACAGGCAAGTATAAATAACAAATATGACAAGCATAGCGATTTTCATCAGACTCATTATCATTTTATCCATCTTAATTAAATGCCTTTTTTAATTATTAATAAACGCACTCGTATACGTATCGCACTTCTTCAAAACAAATGTATTACTTGTGATATGTTACATCTCTGTAATGTACCTAGATAGTTTAATAAAGAAACAATGAAAATGCATGCAATACGTAGGTTTTTATCCTACTGTAAGCGTCAGCGACGTTTCCGTGAACTCAGTAGGAAAAATTTTTATATGTGTACATACATTTGTACATATTTGAATAGTATTCTTCAGAATATATCAGAAGCTTATTTACTACTTATGTTGTTAGAAAGAAATAGTCCGAGGTTACTTCAAGTAGGCAATAATCTTATAACAGTGTCGATACCTAAGCTAACCTAACCATAGCTCCAGAAAAAGCTAGTAAAGAAGTATTTAAAAATAATGATACAATCACGTCCATAGAATTGAAGTAAAATAAAGTTTAAGAAATTTAAGATCACTGTTATTAGAAGTGTTTAGTTACAAGAACGTTTTATTTATTTACATTAGGGACAATTAAATGGATGGAGGCTGTGTTTATGTTTCACTTAAATCACTATAATTACGGTTTAGACGTTTTAGGAGCTTTTCGGAGTACTTCTGATCGATTATAGTTAATAGTAAGTAACCATTTTGTTGCATGTTTTGTTATAAGAGTTCGTTAGCATTACTTTTAATTACATTACATTTACATTACTTTTTTAAGATAGTACTATTATGTGATTAAAAAAATTGTAGTATAGTTGTTATAGTAGAAATATCCCCAGAAATTAAGCAAAAGTGTTGCCATTAACGAAAATTTATACGGTAAAAAACATGATAAAATGTATAAAATATCAAATCAATCATTGCAGACACCGTTTATAAGATTATTTACTTATGTTATTTACAAATATACGTTAATTTTGAAGAAAAAATACTATATAATTCTTTAAGTAACCACAACTTTTCAAAACATGTATGGGTAAAGTAAAAATTTGATTTGGTTACCCTGTATGCTGCACATCGCATCTCAATACGAATGCGATAGCCTTGTATGCGTCTTGTTGTTTGTTGTTTCTGTTCCTAGTGATCTCAGGCGGGTATGAATACTACTAAATTCTTATACTATATTAGTAACTAGTACCATACTAGTATTAATGATACTTATTAAAGTGGATGTGTCACGACTCCAAAACTATATCTGTCAAAAAGAGGATGCTATCTTGACACGACTATAATCGTATGCGAGCTGCTCTATAATGGACGCTAAACTCATTTTTAAAAAACCTGTATCATGTATAATTCGGTTCTCTAATCAGCCATCGTTTCAGGGCAATTATTGGGCTCCAAGTTTGCCAATTTTTAAATCATCTCAGTTGGGTGATGATAGAGTGCCAATGGCAGGATTTTTGGCTAGCCATCGAGCTATTTGACAACTGCGATTGCAATATTTTGGCATTCTACTCTTCAATTGTGAGTCGATAGCGTAGTAGTAGTGGATAACTTATTTGACATAAAATATACATTTAATTTGAAAATGGAATTGATATAAATAGTAATTATTTCCATGGTACTTTAAGGCAACATCGTTAGTGACTGAAAGAACGAATACCATTACTGCACTGATACTTTGTTGGCTGCCATTGCAAATAGCTTTTAGGAGAATAACAAATGTTGTCATAATTGCAATATAATCTCAGTGAAGTTTCAATGGAATATAATGATGAGTGGTTTCAAGAAAATTAGCAATTTTGGGGCCCAGGTTCCTTTGTCACGGTTGACATCGTCATGGGGGTGTAACAATCGCTAAAACCTAAGAACTTAATAACTTGAAGGGTACGATCATTTAATTAATTACGAGAAAATTTCCCTCTGCAGACAATTAAATCCGTAATTGGTTTCGTTTTGAAATATCTTTACTATCTACTTGGTACAACTTCTAATAGCATTTTAGTGTACCTCAGGGTAGTATTTTTGGTCCTGCATCATTCTTAGTATGTGCACTGCTATATGATTCTAACAATTCCTATACGTATCTTGTAGGAGACTAAAAATAATAGACTAAAATTAAAATAATTATTCAGAACTCCTAGGATAGCGTACACTTTGTTTTTGTGACCAGTTCCATTTTTCAATATCTGATTAGTATTGGATATATTTGTAGTGATTTGTTCAATTTAAGAATACAGAAACAGTTTTTTTAAGTACGCATTTGATCTCCATCTCACCTGATGAAAACTGTGGATGATGAGCTAGCACATCTGAATAATGTCTACGTCTATACTCCCGAGTATGGAAAGGGGAAGGCGCAATTAAATCGTGCAATTCCACAGAATATTTTTATCATAATAATTATATTTTTATCAACCGACGTTTGTACTCTGGAATTTGAACTTTTCCGTTGCAATTCTATAAAAAAGAATCTAGTTGTTGGTGTGTTGAACCATACATATTTCTTCAACAGATCTATGATTCTTGAATAGACCCAGTATTTCATGAATTTGTATTGTGTCTATATAGATAATAAAATCCCATATATCGATGATTTACAGGCTACATAACGATAGTTCTAAAGAAGTGCATATCGTATTCACACCTTTCTATACCTACGCAATTTAATATTTGTAATAAACAATTTAATAAACATTGTATTAAAAACATTAGTAGCATCGAATTAATTGCTTTTTGAAATGGTCGAGACAGTAGTGAGTATTGTCACTTTCCTGGTGTTTGTTATTTGCACTATGACTGGAGGAAAAGAAGGTAACGACAAAGAGAGTGGGCTAATTTACATTCTTTTGTGGACACCTGCAGATAAAGAACCATTTAATTACCTGGATAAAGGTCAAGAAGCTTTCACAAAAAGAAATTGTCCATACCAAAACTGTTTTCTAACTAGTAACCGTACATATTTTGATAATACATTATACTACGATGCTATATTATTTAATGCATGGCATTTAAATACGGGTCCCACTGAGGATATCCCAAAAAATCGCAGTGAAACGCAGGAGTATTTTTTAGTTGGGCAGGAATCCGCCGCACTGTATCCAATACCCCCCAACTTTAATAACTTTTTTAACATGACCTGGACATACAAACTCTCGTCAGACGTAATTCATCCATACATAACAGTAAAAAACAGTCGCGGAGTAACAATAGGACCCAAAATGGATATGAATTGGGAAGAAAACATGTTATCACCAGATCATGGCGTTATATCAAAAGTCAATAACAAAAGTATTGCGGCAGCATGGATTGCATCAAACTGCGCAAACGGTGGTCACCGCTATTATTTTGTAAAAAACTTGCAACACCAATTATTAAAATATGATCACCGTGTGGACATCTACGGAAAATGTGGAAATTTATTTTGTCCTGAAGGCGAGAGAATGAATGAATGTTTTGGAGCAATAGAATCAGATTATTATTTTTATTTGGCCTTTGAAAATTCATTTGCTGAAGATTATGTTACTGAAAAGTTGTTGCATGCTTTAGAACACTTTTCTGTGCCAATTGTATATGGAGCTGCAAATTATTCAAGGTAAGATGGTGTTAGTAACGCATAAAAACTGGTAAAACAAAGTTCATAATGTTTTATTTGAATTTTAGGAATGTCAAACATAACTTCAGATTAAAACATTCAATTCAAATTCAAGATGTCTTTATTTCATAGATAAATAAACAAGACTTGAAATCTTGAAAAAAAAAACGTTAAAAATATTAAACTATACGTCTCATTCGTAAAGTATGCCCATCGGACAAGAATGAGTAAAAGAACTCTAAGGGTGTGGAATACTAACAACCTCGCAAGATTATATTACTAAGGTCACAAATAACAACTTTTGTTCCATGATCTTTTACAAAACATAATAAATTAGCCAAAAATAAACTTAAGTGTTTGTTGCACTATTTGACAATTATAGATCTATATTTTGTACTAACGATGCCCCGCTCCTGCGTTTGGCACCGGACTGTTACGATAGTACTTTCTTTTGTTACCGCACAAAATTATCACCGTTAGAGCGATCTATTCAAATATTTTTGTATTTGTACCAAAGGTAATTCAGACGAATTATTAAAAGTCATGTAACAAAAGTTGTTGTTTATGACGTTAGTAATATAACTGCGATGTTGGTAGTATTTTACAAATAACCCTGTATATTTATTCACATTTATAATAAAAAAATAATAACACTGCCCTATATATAGATGACATCTATTCGTTGTACAAAGTCCATTATATCGTGATGATGTTTTGGAAGATTACATGCAATATATAAAAATAATATTTCATTTAAACCTACTAGATTCATGCCTGACGGAATATACATAAATGCCTATGAATTAGGAGCAGCAGAACTAGCAAAAGAAATAAGCGATATTATAAACAACCCTGCAAGATATTTTGACTACTACAAATGGCACGGACACTACAGTTTCCACAATCCTACCGAGGACAAATACCGCGATACCATCTGCGGGTTGTGCGCTATTCTTAATAACAAGACGCGAAGAAATCAAAGAACAATATACAAACGTATTACTAAATGGTGGAACGGTTACAAAGAAGATTATCCATTTTATTATCCAGCTGAATTTGTGCCACAAGAAAAATATACGGGTACAGGTGTCGTTGGGTTTTTTAAAAATTTGTATGACTACTTTTTTGTTGATGTTTAAAAATTGAGAAGGGAAGTTCTACAGTGCAATGCAACAAATAAACCAACACACTCACAACAAAAAAGTTATGTGTATAGAAGATAACAAATTTATGTTTCATATAATTATTAATACAAAGATCGCACACAAAGAAAAATTCTTTCGATCCGGCTTGGCTCGAACGAACGGCCTTGCCATAGCGATAGCTCCATCCGAGAGCCCTGGTTCGAGTCCAGCCGGATGGAAGGAATTTTTCTTTGTGCTTGATGTTTGTATTAATAATTATAACAAAGTAGTGGAGTAATTTCACAAAAATAATTGAATGTCATGGTAGTAAAACATCGTGACATTCAAGAAAGTTAGTATTAAAATTAATGTTTGTTTATATGTTACAATAAATTTTTATTTGTTTACCAGTAAAAGTGTTTATTTTCCGATGCTTGGCATCAAAAGGCCAAGCGTGGCAGCAAAAAGAAATTGAGTGTTTTCCTTTTTGTGCCTTCTTTTACTATTATCAATTTTTTTGTGAGTTAGATATTAGACGATTTCAGTGCCCCAACAGTTTGTAGTGCGGGCGCTGGTTGACGAAGTCCCGGGTTCGATTCCCGGGAGGACCATATTTTGGGAAATGGACGTTTCTAAATTGGTTCTGGTCTGGGTGTTTTGGGAAGTAGTCCCAGAACAACGGCGCTGTGGTACAGATAGTACACGGAATTCTCTAGTTCAAGCCAAGTAATTGATGCGCCCGGTGAAAGCGACATGCTGCTAGTCCATAGCAGTTGAAGTGCCATTCAGAGCTTTAAATCACAAAGATCTGAAGGGCACTGCCTCTGCGCTCGTCACCGTGAGATATAAGTTGACAAGTCCCATGTGCATGTAATTTCACCAGCATACTTACCCTTCAAGACCGGAACACAGTAATGCTGATATTACTAAACTTTTTGCTTTCACTGCCTCTGTGCCCTCCACAATGAGATAGATATAAGTTAATAAGTCCCACGTGCCTGTAATTTCACCAGCACCCTTACCCTTCAAAACCGGAATGCAGTAACGCTCACACAACTGCTTGGTGGCAGAAACGGATATGGCAGTACTTCCTTGGACGAACTCTTTCATTCCTGGTGAGACTCTACGGCTACTTGGTGTTGTGTGGCATATTACTATTATTATTTTTAAAAACAATTAACCTTTGGCAAAGGCTGCCTTCTGGTCGAAATGGGGAGAACATATTGTCACAATTGTGTCAGCTCCCTTTTTCTGTTAAAAAGAAACCAATGCACCTATTTTTCGCATGCGCTGGAGACGTCAGTCCGCCCCCGCAACAAACGTTCTTGTAGAAAGCTGGGCTAATTTATTATGTTTCAAAACTAATTAAAGTGGATCAAAACATAACTCGTTTAAGCCCTATACAAAGATCCGAAACACAAAGAGGAATTCGTAAGATTTGCTTGGTCCGTAGCTCGATTGGAAACCGCTTAACTGAGCCGGCTCTTGAAGTAGCTGCGCTTATTTAATATCTTAAGAAAAATCTTATTGAAATTATCCCGTGTGCAGGGCGACATAACTGTTACTTAGACTGTCACCCCTCCCGCACGGCGCAGCTATCTCAGGAACCGACTTAGACAAGCGGTAGGCCTGTAATGGAATATTTCCACAAATAAGACTTTTTTTTAAATAGTATCAAGTGACGGCACAATCAAGGCGTGCGCCTGATAGTAAGCTACGCGCCTGTCCATAATAGTTACAGTGCCACTCAGAGCTAGGGGCACTGCCACTGCGCCCGTCACACTGAGACATAAGTTGACAAGTCCCATGTGCCTGTAATTTCACCAACACCCTTACCCTTCAAAACCGGAACACAGTAATGCTGACATTACTGCTTGGCGGCAGAAATAGGTAAGGTGGCAGTATTTCCCCGGACGAACTCTTTCACAAGTAGCTCTACTGCTACCAAGATGAATATTATGGTAGTAAAAACATGTGGTGGTTCAATATTCTATATGAAATAATACCACAACATTGTTCGACTCGTTCTCTAATCGCAACCTTGGTGCAATCTGCATCTCAAAAATTACAACTTTTTGTGGAAAGAGGAAAGTAGTTGATAACTTTTTTATGCTTAAATAGGAGAGTTATAAAATTTCAAATATACGTAATTTGTTTCATGTAGTTCATATTATTTTTATGACTTCTTTGTGACAAAAGCCCTTTTGTCGCATGATCTTGAGAGCTTTAAGAGAAGTGATTTTAGGCCCAGCTTATTTGATCTATGAAATAGAATTTTTGTTCATTGTACCTTTTGTGGTTATTGCAGATAGAGCCGAAGTAGTTTCAATCACAAGTGATTGTCTGACATTTTTATTACTATTATAAAAACTTTCTTTACCACAATTGATCAAAATTGCGCGCTCGTAAATTCAGTTGGATTTATCTTGTCTTTAATAAAAATAAGTTCACTCCATTCTTTATACTCGTTAAAGCAGCAGAAATGATTTCGTTTTAGCAAGCGATGGCGTACACTATATTATTATGGCCCAGAAGTTATTGCCGCTACCCGCATCACTAGTAGTAGTCATCGTGCAAAAGTGTGGGACATATTTGCCATTGTGATGAAAGGATTTGCCGATTGGCGTAATCTATCTACACGCAAATTGTTGCCCAGGGTGTGCCAGATGTGAAGAGGATATGGATATGGATCTTTTCGTGCACCCCAATAAGTCGTTGAATACAGTTTTTAGCAAGGTTTTTATTACGTACATGTGTTTTTATCATTGTTTGAATTCTTCCCGTGACGCACTCTACACAATTCGTATACTATCTCGTGATTGACGAACTCTTTAAGCTCTTTGAGAAATTCAAGTGCAAACGGTAAAGTGGTTACATTTGAAGTCGTACTGTAAAATGGTATCAATGGTACGAGTATTGTGAAGACGTCGAAATTCCGAATTCATTTCACACTTTCCGATGTACGTTGAATTCACGTTCAGAGCAAAAGTTAACTGAGGGAGGTCCCAAGCGCGTTGTCGTAAAGCGTTTTAGAAAACTATTTAGATAGACATGTATAACAACAATTGTCAAGTCAATGAATAATGACTTAAAGATCAAATTGAATTCTATTATTGTCGCTGTAATATTTCAAACATTTAAGATTGCGTAGCGTTCAGATTACCTATCAATTACCCCAGTAGATGTATCTTCAACAGACTCATTATTTAAATATCTACTATCATTATTTACTCACAACAGCTAACATATTTTCTATTAAAAGAGGACCTTGGCAATCGTCTCATGTGCTCATTTTAATTCATAAGTAATAAATATTATGAAAAAATGGTTAAAATTTTATTGAAGTTTGGTTATTTAAAACAAATCATCATGCTTGTACTAGCTAATAGTTTTAGTACAAAATGCAACAATTTGATTTATATCCTCGAGTGGACATCAGCCGCCGTGGAACCATTAAATTACCTTGGAGCGGGACAAGAAGCTTTTAAATCAGAGAATTGTTCGTACCAGAACTGTTACTTAACAGACAACCGTTTATTCTTCAATAGTATAATAAACTTCGATGTTTTACTGTTCAACGCAGTTTTTTTAAACGACAGTACGCATATCCCTCCCATTCGATCTGAAGTTCAAGAGTATGTTTTAATTGGTCTGGAACCAGCAGGTATCTACAAAATTCCAGCTATATTTAATAACTTTTTCAACATAACTTGGACATACAAACTCTCGTCTGATGTTCCTTATCCATATATAATAGTAAAAAATAATCGAAGTGATGTAATAGGACCCAAAGAGAATATGCAATGGATACATGTAAGTGATATGGTACCCACAAATGTCAGTGTTCTATCTAAAATACAGAATAAGAGTATTGCAGCTG